CCAACCGAGCCACCCAGGCACCCTGCACTCAGATCTTTAAATGGATATCCTACCAATATGGTTAGATGTTAATGACTTGGGAAGCTTCTCCTTTTCAAACACAGAGAAAGGATGATGACCTCAAACAATCCCCATCAAAGGTAGGTAAGTTCAAAGCTAACTAAGATGGGGAAACATGGTGACAAGTGGGAGCTGAAACTGGATGATCTCACAAAAGCTCTGGAACTAGATACAGATCTAAAAATTTACTACTGAGGGTGGTTGGGAGTCTAGGCCTCCCACGTTGGGAGACATGAGCATGAACACAATGCAGCCAGTCTCAGGTGTTGTCACTACCTGTGACCACCTTGAGGACCCTTGCTATGCAGCTTAGGTGTATGCCATACCTGTCGTCTTTTCAGTTTTAGAAGTTAAGTGCTTTTGGCTTAATCTGGTGAGATTTGTTACAAATAATTGCTTTGGTGATGATTTATCCAGTATTTGGTGACAGTTTAAAAGGAAAAAAAATTATAGGCCCTAGATTTCTGTACACCACGTATGCAGGAAAGTTTATATAGCAGTTCTGAGACCGTGATCCTTAGAAAGGCCTGCTTGCAAGCCTGGACTTTGGCTGGTGTCAGGGAACATGGATTTGGGAAGACTACTCCATCTCATTTCTGGTAAGAGCTGTTCACTGTGCCTAAACTGTTATGATGTGGTTTATTCTGAATACCTGCTTTTCCTATTGAAGGCTTGGATTTTGTTACATGCTAAGTAGATGGTGCCTACATGACCAGCCCTGAGTAAGAACCCTGGGTACTGGTCTCTAATGAAGTCTTTTTGTAGGCATTTCACACGTGTGGCCACAATTCAGTGCTGGAGTTGAGTGAGTCCTGATACCGTGGGAAGAGGGCTTTTAGAAGCTCACGCCTGGTTTCCTTTCACTCACATGTGGACAATAAGGAATAGAGCACAGGATCATAGGGGAAGGGAGGGAAAACTGAATGGGAAGAAATCAGAGAGGGAGACAAACCATGAGACTCTCGACTCCGGGAAACAAACTGAGGGTTGTGGAAAGGGAGGTGCGTGGGTGGGATGGGGTAACTGGGTGATGGGCATTAATGAGCGCACGTGATGTGATGAGCTCTGGGTGTTATACGCAACTAATGAATCATTGAATACTACATCAAAAACTAATAATGTACTATATGTTGGCTAATTGAATGTAAATTAAAAAAAGGACATCTATGTAACTTTTCCCTTTACTGATTTTGCTCTGTATTTTTTTCACTGAAATATAGTCCTAAATCCAACTATATTCTGAATCCCCTGAGCAAATCAAAGAACCTCAAGGTGGTGTTAGGGACTCCCAAACGACTACACAAATTGAGACAGCATGGATCTCAGTATCTGGTATCCTGTGAAGATATAGTCCAGAAAACAGATTATGAAAATGAATCTATTAGATATATTTTGTAAATAAAGCCCTTCAGTCAATACACTTAAAATATCACCATGGTGTCCAAGAAGTGTGGAAAGGCATCTAAAGCTGCTCTTCCCCCTTAGAGGCTTGACTGCTATGCTATGATCCCTACCCCTGCATTTTTTCTTCAAAGCATTTCTTTTTGGGGCACCTGGGTGGCTCAGTCAGTTAAGTGTCTACCTTTGACTCAGGTCACGATCTCAGGGTCCTGGGATTGAGCCCCGCATCAGGCTCCCTGCTCAGCGGGGAGTCTGCTTCTCCTTCTCCCTCTGCCCGTCACCCAACCTCCCGGGCTTGTGCGCTCTCTTTCAGACTGTCTCTTTCTGTCACATAAATAAATAAAATCTTAAAAAAAAAAAAAAAAAAGCATTTCTTTTAACCTCCACAACATAACGACTTTACTGGTATCTCCAGTATTTGTCTGCTCCCTGGCTTATGCCTCAAGATGCATCTTGTGCATCAACTACAAAGATGGTCAATCATACTCGTTAGCTTATCAGTGTATTCAAAGCAAAAATTTTTTTGCTTTTGAATACTGGAGTCCTACTCCTTAATTTTGATCTTCTGTGTCATACGATAATGTAGAGCAATCTTAATCAGGTGACTTAACTGTAAGGGACTCATAATTTTTCAAATTCTATTGTACATAATTTACCAGTTTGATCAAATGGATGTTCATTAAGAAATAAAAACATAATAGAGGGGCGCCTGGGTGGCTTAGTTGGTTAAGTGTCCAACTCTGGGTTTCAGCTCAGGTCATGATCTCAGGGTCGTAGGATCAAGTTCCGCATTTGGCTCTGTGCTCAGCAGGGTCTGCTGGAGATACTCCTTGCCAAAGAATATTAACAGCATCCACTCCTACATTATGTATGGACATACAGAGAATACACACATATACACAAGAGAGTTATGAATTTTATTATACTATGAAGGCTATGGTCTGATTTCACAAAGCCTGTATTATGTTCTCCTGATATTACATGTCCTTGACATTACCTCAAACACCCCATATTATTATGGGATCATATGAAATTTAAACAAATTCTTATTGGTGAACATTTGTTATTTCCATTTAAAAACTGTGTGACATTAATGATGTGATTTTCATCTTTTCATTGTTTGAATCTCATAATCATGTATTTCTATAGTATGATTTCCAGATCACAGTTGCATGTTACACATTCCGTTATATACTGCTTTTCAAAAGATATGTATTGCCACCAAGAAAGAAAAACATGTAACTGTCATTTCTGCATCAGTAATTAATATATCTGATGAAACCACCAAATCCCAAATTTTTCTATTATTTATTTCATGGGGATGAGGGAAGAATATGGGAAGCTGACAAGCTAAATGTCCTTCAAATTTGGCATAGCTTCTACCAGAGAAGTTTGATTTAAAAAAAGAAAAAAAGTGCTACAATTAGAAGGCAATCATATAAAAGATTACACAGAAATGCAGAAATTTAAAAATCAATGATGAACTCAAAATTAAAATTTTTATCATTACTCTGACACTTTTAATGTTACTTTGAACCCTTGCCTTAACATTGTTGAGAAAATTCAATTAAGCTATGTGCAGTGGCCAGTTATCATAGTTAAAATTGTCTGCAATGTGAGAAAAATCACAAAAGAGTTGATTTTCTACTGTATAAACCAATGGAACACGAAATCAAGACCCAAAAAATAACCCAACCACAGACTAGAGGCTGAGGGTATACCAAGAGCCAACTGCAATAGGATACTACCAAAATAATGCTGTGGAATGCAGTACTGTGTATTTCTCCATTTCAATTCCTCTTTGTTTCTCAGAATTATTTTTTTTGCTGGTTTCCTTTTCCAGATACAATTTTTAAATATTGCACATTTTCTCTGATTAAAATATTTTATCACAACTTTCTGCCATTTTAAGAACTATGTGTCTCAGTATGGACCTTCTTGGGCTGATTTTTGGGGTGCTCTCTGTGCCTCCTGGATCTATGTTTCCTTCCCCACAAAGATGAATTTTTCAGCAATTATTTCTTCAAACAAATTTTCCCTAAGACTATCCTCAATTTGCGTATTTTTTTTCTTTTTATTTGCTCAGGTTGATTACTTTCCATTACTCTGCCTTCCAGGTCATTCATTCATTCCTCTGTCATCTAGCTTACTTATTCCATCAAGTGTTTTACTGTGTTCTTCATCTCTGATAGGTTCTTTTTAATCTCTGTGCTAAGGTTCTCCCTATGTCCTTCACTCTTCTCAAGTCCAGTGAGTATCTCTATGACCACTACTTTAAATTCTCTATCTGGCATATATTACTTACATCCGTTTTGCTTAGGTCTCTTCCTGTGGTTTCGTCCTGTTCTTTCATTTGGAGATACCCCCCTCCTCATTTTGTCTCTATCTCTGTGTGTTATTAGTCAGCTGTGTCTCTTGACTCTCAGAGGTAACGGCCTCACGAAGGGGTCTGTACTGCCCTGCAGTGCATGGTCTCCTGCTCCCTGGGAACCGTCGCTTCAGGGAGCGTCTCCTAAGCGTGTTGCCTGTGCCTGCCGCTGCGTCCTGGCCTCTTCTTCCTTCAGTCATCTGCGGAGGCGCTCTGCCCGTTGTGGGCAGCGTTTGGTCTTCAGCGGGTGGGGCACATCCTAATGTGGGTTGGTCTGGATGCTGCCACGGCCACCTCTGGACGTGATATCCCATGAAACGTGCAGGTCAGATGCGGGGTTCGTGGGGTTTGCTCTGATCTCCCGGGGGAGGGGGCTTGCAGTGCCAGGACTGAAGCGAGTGTGATGGGGAAAGGCGGCTCCACTGGACCACAGGGGTGCGGGGCTCCGTGTAAGCAAGTTAGGTAAGGAGTGTTGGCACCACGCTGGTTCCGGCAGGTGGCCATGTGTTCATGCCAGGGGGCTGTGGAGGGAAGTGGCGCCTACCAGCTCCTTTGTTCCTGGAGGGGTCCCTGCCTCTCCAGGCCATGCCCTGAGTAAGTCAATCTCTCTCCCGTCTGCCCCTGGCATTTTTCAAACTGCTGATTCCTGGCTGTACCTCCACTGGTTGGTTGTCATGCTCTCCCAGAGCCCAGCCCACAGACATTGAAAATCCAGGCTTTAAGTCACACTGGTTGTAAGAACTCATGAAATTTGGCCCCTCTCACTTTCAAAGCCAAATGTTACGGGGATTTGTCTTCCCCATGTGGTCTCCCCCCTGTGATAATCTGTTTTTTGCCTTCTCCACATCACCAGCTCTGTCCCCAGCACAGATGGCCACAGTCTGTTTCACTCTCAAACTGCATCTTTGCCCTTCCTACCTTCTTTGATATTGCCTCTTCTCTACCTTTAGTTGATGAGTTTGTTATGCCAGTCTTCAGGCCATTTCTGGGTTACTTACGCTGATGTGACTGTTGTCTAGCTGTATCTATGGGAGGAGGAAAGCTTAGGATCCTCCTACTCTGCTATCTTCCCTAATTCTCTCTTCCTTTTGACTCACTTAGCAAGTACTAAATGCACATACAGAGTGCTACTCAATGTTGATTGTATAAATTCAACAGCAAATAAACTCCCTGCCCTCACGAAGCTTGTATTTCAGGGGACATCAATTTTAATATCCACCATTAGAGTTTGATAAGTGCCTAAAGAAAGATTATTTCAGCCAGTTTCTTGAGTGAAAACTACAACTGCTAAGGTTCTAACTAAAGTCCTCATTGCACCATTTGTGTGATCTTGGGATCACCAGGATGTATTCAGCTATGGCAGAAACATTGTTACTGAAACAAATGGTTTCCCTCCTATGAGACTGGATGAAATTTATCACCAGCATGGATTCTGTGATGAATTTTAACATAGGAACTTGAACTGAACTGCTTACCACATATCTTACACTTATAAGGTTTCTCCCCTGTGTGAACTCTCTGATGGGACTTTAGATGTCCAGACTGACTGAAGACCTTACCACACATACTACATTTGTACGGTTTCTCTCCAGTGTGGACTCTCTGATGAACTTTAAGATTTGAGGTCCTAGTGAAGTGCTTACCACATGCCCTACAGGTGTATGGGTTCTTTCCCATATGGACACTCTGGTGCACATCAAGATCCAAGCTTGTCTTGTAGCCCTTCCCACACTCCTCACATTTGTATGGTTTTTCTCTGGTGTGGACTTTCTGATGAGCTTGCAGGCATGATTTCTGACCAAATCCCTTCCCACACTCTTCACATTTGAATGGTTTTTCTCCACTGTGGACTCGCTGATGTGTCAAAAGAGGTGAGACCCATCTGAAGCTCTTCCCACATTCCTTGCAATTATAGGGTTTCTCCTCTGTGTGGAACCTCCGGTGGTAATAAAGATGTGTCCTAGAAAAGAAGCTCTTTCCACATTCCTCACATTTGTGTGGTTTCTGTCCCATGTGAACTTTCTTATGGATACGAAGACGTGAACGCCAAGTATAGGACTTCCCACACTCCTCACATTTGTACGGTTTTTCTCCTGTGTGGACTACACAGTGACTATTAAGTGCCGATCTACGACGAAAGCTCTTACCACAGATATCACACTTGAACGGCTTCTCCCCAGTGTGGACTCTCTGATGGTCCTGAAGATGGCAAGCATTAATGAAGGCCTTCCCACATCCCTTACACTTATAAAGTTTCTCTCCCGAGTGTAACCTGCAATGATTACTAAGTTCTGATCTACGACTGAAGCCTTTCCCACACTCCTCACATTTGAATGGCTTCCCTACAGTGTGGACTTTCTGATGGGTTTGCAGATGTGAGCTCTGACTGAATTCCTTACCACACTCATCACATCTATACCGTTTCTCTCCCAGGTGAACTCTCTGATGAATACGAAGTGCTGAGCTATAAAAGAAGCATTTCCCACACTCATGACATGTATGAGACTTCTCTTCTGAGTTTAACTGTTGAAGATCATAGTTGGAGGTATCACTGAAGAATTTTTTACACCCATTTCCCTGGTAAGTTCTCTGGCCTGTCTGAGTTATAGACAGTCCTGCCCCAACCTGGCCAGGTAAATCGCGTTGTTTGTAGAATTGAGAACTTTTTATCATGGAGTCTTGACACCGGGTTAAGTCATTAGCAATGTGTTGCCAGATTTGCCAGCAGGAAAGTTCTTCATGTGGTTCTGCTTTAAGAATAGTCTCCATCTCATGTTGGACTTTTTCTCCTAAAACGACAGAGAATGCAGATATAGACAAATGAAGGCTTTGTTCAATGTCTTCATAGCTATATGTTAGGAAAAAGCATGGGACCTTTTTTTTTTAAGATTTTATTTATTTATTTGACAGAGAGAGAGAGACAGCAAGACAGGGAACACAAGCAGGGGGAGTGGGAGAGGGAGAAGCAGGCTTCCTACGGAGCAGGGAGCCTGATGCGGGGCTCAATCCCAGGACCCCAGGGATCATGACCTGAGCCGAAGGCAGACACTTAACGACTGAGCCACCCAGGCACCCCAAGAGCACAGGACTTTAATGAATCCAGGGAATATTCCCTACATCCTTCTAGTGTATATCATGGTCTCTGGTTTAAATGCCTACACAAACCAAGAGGTAGTCTAGTAGGCTCCTATCCACTAAGCAAGCATCAGTGAAACAAATTGAGAATCACTCCAACCCTCGTATGTGATATACAAGTTAGAAATCAAAGACTTAATAACAAAAGTAATAATGATATAGGTTAATTTTGCTGTTTCTACTGAATTTCATAAATCAGTGTATAAACTCTTATTTTTTTTAAAAATAAGCTCCACACCCAGCATGGAGCCCAATACAGGGCTTGAACTCACAACCCTGAGATCAAGACCTGGGCTGAGATCGAGTCAGACACAACTGACTGAGCCCCACAAGTGCCCCCAATAAACTCTTAAATAGTAAATTATGCAGCAAATAAATTATATACACAATGAAGGCCTTTGTCCTCAATATCTGAAAGATAGTTCTAAGCCCCTGGCGTGTCAGGCCTCAAAGGAATGCCGTAGGGTCTTCAGTCACATTAGACAGTTTAACAATATGATTTAGGGACAAGGCTGACCACACCAGAAAGACCAAGAATATGATTTTAGGTGGGGCTTTCAATCACCTGGTGGTGTGGACCAAGAGGCTGAGAATAACCATATGAAACCATTCAGTCTACACTGGTCATATGACAGAACTCCAATAATTACTCTGGACACAGGATCAGGTAAGTTTCCCTAATTGGTAATATCCTGTGTATAACTGTACACCTTCATTTTGGAAAGTAACACAATAACACATCCCTGACTCCACGGACAGAAAACATGGCAACTCTGCCTCTGGTACTTCCCTAAACTCCCTCTCATGTGCTTTTTCTCTTGCTTGATTGTAAGGTGTATCCTTCCCTGTAATAAACACTAACTGTGAGTATAACAGCATTCAGTGAATTCTGCCAGTCCTTTTAGAAAATGATTCAATCTGAAGGCAATTTTGGAAACTCTCAAACCTGTAGTTGGTGTTAAGTGCCAGGAGGTCTGTGTAAACTGTCCCTCTAAACTTTATAGTTGCTTAAACAATTTGCAATCTTATATATCAAGCACCTAGAACTGATTATAGCTATATATTCTAAGTATTCCTGCAAATTCTACATAATGTGTATAGTTCATCTTATTTTCCTGTGTTAATACACACAGTTAATACACCTTAAAAAGGGAGAGCAAACTGTAGTTTTGCTGTGAAGTCAGAATACCCACAAGGAGGGTGGTGTTCCTGATAAGAGAAATGAAAATGGCAAGAACCACTAGGGGTGAAAAGACTACACAAAGGTTTATGCACTGGTTTCTTCTGAGGCTTCTGGACCGTCTCATTCAAAACAGAGTGAAGAAAATCTTTGAATGTAGATAAATTAGGCTTTCACATCAGTTTTTCTGATTGAAAACTGCAGCCTTTTAGTCAGCTGTAAAATAAATTTAACATCATGCAATAAGCATTTAGGAAAAAGGGACAGAAACTATCAGAGCATCGTTACTCACAGGAGTAGGGTGACTGCATGAATTGTCTTACAAAGTCATACATATAAATCTATATATGCATGAAATATTTCTTTTGGATACACTGAAAGATGCATTTCTTAGTAGGGCTTGTGTTCTAAAGTCTGAAAACTTAGTTCAGGAACTCAGCAGGTCTTTCATTAAACAAATTGTTCATATGGAAAGGTAAGCCCTAAGGGTGAAAACTTGGAAAATTATTAATAGGGGAGTGTGTACCTCTTGGTAGGTACTACTTTATGGTTCTATTTAATAAACTATTCCTTTATAATAGTTTTCTTTGGGGCACCTGGGTGGCTCAGTCAGTTAAGCATCTGCCTTTGGCTCACGTCATGATCCCAGCCAGGGTCCTGGGATCAAGTCCTGCACTGGGTTCCCTGCTCAGCAGGGGAGTCTGTTTCTCCCTCTTCCTCTGCCCCTCTGCCTGCTTTTGCACACATGTTCTCTCTCTCAAATAAATAAATAAAAATCTTAAAAAATAATATAATAGTAGGGGACTTTAACACCTCACTTACATCAATGGACAGATCATCTAAACAGAAAAACAACAAGGAAACAATGGCTTTGAATGACTCACTGGACAGATGGATTTAACAGACATATTAAGAACATTCCATCCTAAAAAAATAAAACAGACATTCAGAATACAAAATGTATAATTAAAAAAAAAAAAAGAACATTCCATCCTAAAACAGCCCAATACACATTCTTTTCAAGCGTACATGGAACATTCTCCAGAACAGATCACATATTAGGCCACAAAACAAGCATCAACAAGTTCAAAAAGATCATAGTCATACCATGCATCTTTTCTGACCACAACGATATGAACCCAGAAGTCAACCACAAGAAAAAATCTGGAAAGACTACAAATACATGCAAGTTAAATAACATGCTAGTACACAATAAATGGGTCAACCAAGAAATAAAAGAAGAAATAAAAAGTACATGGAAATAAATGAAAACACAACTGTCCAAAACCTTTGGGATGCAGAAAAAGCGGTTTTTTTTTTTTTTTAAGATTTATTTATTTGAGAGAGAGCGTGAGAGCACAACAAGTGGGGAGGGGCAGAGGGAGAGGGAGAATCAGGCTCCATGTGGAGCCCCATGTGGGACTCGATCCCAGGACCCTGGGATCACCACCTGAGCCAAAGGCAGACGCTTAACCACTGAGCCACCCATGCGCCCAGAAAAAGCAGTTCTAAGAGGGAAGTTTATAGCCCTATAGGCTGACCTCAAGAAGCAAGAAAAATCTCAAACAACCTAACTTTACACCTTAAGGAGCTAGAAAAGGAACAACAAACAAAACCTAAAAACAGCAGATGGAAGGAAATAATAAAGACTAGAGCAGAAATAAATGATATAGAAACAACAGAACAGATTAATGAAATCAGGAACTGATTCTTTGAAAAAAAAATCAATAAAATTTATAAGCCTCTAGCTAGACTTATCAAGAGAGAAAGAGAAAGGACTCAAATAAATACAATCACAAATGAGAGAAGAGAAACAACCAATCACAGAAATACAAATAATTACAAGAGAGTATTATGAAAAACTATATGCCAACAAATTGGACAATTTAGAAGAAAGGGATAAATCCCTAGAAACATATAACTTACCAAAACTGAAATAGGAAGAAATAGAACAATCGAACAGACCAATTATCAGCAAAGAAATTGAGTCCGTAATCTAAGAAGTCCCAACAAAAGTTGGGTTCCCAACAAAAGTCCAGCACCAGATGGCTTCACAGGCAAATTCTGCCAAACCAAACTATCCCAAAAAATAGAAAAGGAAGGAAAACTTCCAAATTCATTTTTTGAGGACAGTATTAACCTGACACCAAAACCAGATAAAGACACCACACACCAAAAAAAAAAAAAAGAAAGTGTGAGGAGATGGAGGTGCTAACTAACCTTATTGTGGTAATTATTGTACAATATATGCATGTATCAAATCAGACACCAAAAAAAAAAAAAAGAGAGAGAACTACAGGCCAATATCTTTGATGAACACAGATGCAAAAATCCTCTACAAAATATTAGCAAACTGAATCCAACAATATATTAAATAAATCATTCACCACAATCAAGTGGAATTTATTCCTGAGTTGCCAAGGTCATTCAATATTTGCAAATCAATCAACGTGGTACATCACATCAATAAGAGAAAGGATAAAAACCATATCATCATTTGAATAGATGTGGAAAAAACATTTGACGAAGTACCACATCCACTCATGGTAAAAACCCACAACAAAGTAGGTTTAGAGGGAACACAAAGGCCATATACGAAAAACCCACAGGTAACGTCATCCTCAAAGGGAAAAAACTGAGAACTTTTTCTCTGCAGTCAGAAATAAGAGAGGAGGGAAGCCTGGGTGGCTCAGTCGGTTAAGCGTCTGCCTACGGCTCAGGTCATGGTCCCAGGATCCTGGGATCGAGCCCCACATCAGGCTCCCTGCTCGGTGGGAAGCCTGCTTCTCTCTCTCCCACTCCCCCTGCACGTGTTCCCTCTCTCGCTGTGTCTCTCTCTTGTCAAATAAATAAAATCTTTAAAAAAAGAAATGAGAGGAATGTCCACTCCCACCACTGTTATTTAACATAGTACTGGAAGTCCCAGCCTCAGCAAGTAACGAAAAGAAATAAAAGGCATCCAAATTGGTAAGGAAGAAGTAAAACTTTTGCTATCTGCAGATGATATGATACTATATATAGAAAACCTGAACGACTCCACTGAAAAACTGCTAGAATAAATTAATTCAGTAAAGTCACGGGATACAAAATCAATGTACAGAAATCTGTTGCATTTCTACACACCAATAATGAGGCAGCAGAATTAGAAATTAAGGAATCAATCCCATTTACAATTGCACCAAAAATTATGATACACCTAGGAATAAAGCTAACCAAAAAGGTGAAAGATCTGTACTCTGAAAATTATAAAACACTGATAAAAGAAACTGAAGATGACATAAAGAAATGGAAAGACATTCCATGCTCACAGATTGGAAGAATACTGTTAAAATGTCTATACTGCCCAAAGCAATCTACACATTTAATGCAATCCCTATCAAAATACCTGTCAGAATGGCTAAAATCAAAAACACAAGAAACAAGTGTTGGTGAGGATGTGGAGAAAAAGGAACCCTAGTGCACTGTTGGTGGGAA